GCGTAGCGATTACATTTCGAAGGTATATCCTGCACTACCTAAGTTCAATTTCCGCCGAGAGTGCTAATGGTAATCAGGCGAGGTTGAGACTGCAGTCTAGACCTGCCGGGATGGGAACACCTGTTCAGAAATAAGACTTAGTGAATTTTAAAGGATACGAGATACCTACTTAACGACTTGTAAAAAGATTATGTTCTTAGTCCTTCATCACCTTGTGAAACACAGGACGAATAGAATTCTTATTCAAGATCTTCCGATAGCATTGAAATGTAATATATCTTAATATACCAAAATAAAGCCTGACACCAGTCCCGGGTCATCAAGGCTTACGAGTGCAGTCAAAAGGGAACACTTAATAAAATCTGATAGAAAAAAAGTTGATAGATGAGTGAAAGTAAGAAGTAAACTCAGGAGACTCTAAGGACGGCATGCAAAACTGGTGATGAATGCCATCTCGCCCTACTAAATCCACTTGAGGTGACATTATCTTGTGTGATACAGGAACGAAATAAGATAAAACAAAGATATACGTATATAAATAAATATATATATGAGTGTGTGCGTGCGTGTATGCTTGCTAGGAACCAGGACAAAGTGGCTAGAAGAGAGATGCCAAGATCATTGAACAGCAAATTGGCAACTATGAGATGATGTATCTCAGTGTTAAGGATTGTGATTCTTGTTGGCGCTGCCTGCTAAACGTCTGGAAATGTACCAAGTCAACGGTCCGATGCTGCAAATTCTCATGAACACTACGACAGAGGACGCAGGAATGGGCACGTTCTTCAAATGAGCCCTGACACCCCATGTATCGGTTGCGAAAGCGCTGGAAATGCAAAACAAAAGCAAAACTTAGATATAAAGACCAAGTTGTTGTTGCAAATAAGTTAAGAAAACAAGTTCAAATGACTATAAGCAAACCTTGTTTAAATATACAAATAACTCGCTGCGATCGGAGCTAAGGCTACCTCAACTTGAGCTTCATATCTAACATACGTCTTAATTCTTGGCACTGACAGATGAGCTGGCTGGAGATGAACAAGATTGTGAATAAATTGTAGCTGATGCTACGTTGAACGAGGGCTGAATTAGCGGTTGAGTGTGCGGTGGAAATGACATGTCCAATCATTGCTGATAGGAACCATTGTTATAATGAACTGGAGCGGCTTAAGCTAATAATGCTCGAAAATAATCATTCCATAGGTCTAATTGAGAAGAACATATTGATGGTAAAAAAATTCTTTTTTAATGATAGTACGCTAGGAGAACTAAGAGACAATTTCCCATGTTGTACCCCTGCCTTCGTGCAAACTTCTAAAAGGATAGACGAACTAGTAACGAAGTAGGGAATAAAAAAGGGTTTTCAGGGAAACTATTACACTTTATTAAATTATGCCCACTTTTAGAGAGAAAGTTGACCCATTATCCAGGTCGGGTTGTTACAAAATAATGTGTTTATGCGGTAGCTTTTATATTGGAAAGACTTTTCGTCCCAATCTACAAAGGGTTGTTGAGCACAAAAGCGCCTGCAGAAGCTGTTGGGTACAAAAATCAGAGCTAGCTGAGCACAAGGCAGAAACTCGACATGAATGGGTTCAAACTTCCTGATTTTCTGATTATGTTATGTCAGCTGATAAACATAAAATTAGTGATTTCATGGTATTAAACCGACTAAGGAATACCGGTAAGAAGAAATGTAAAATCTGCTTGTGCTTTATTAATAGACTCAAGGATAAAGAGGTTGCTGAGCCGCCTGCAAAAAGGAGGCGACTCAACTAGTCCTTTCTTCTTTAGTCGTAGTTCCAACCACGGTAACTTTTCTGTACTTTTTAGTCCATTTTTTCTCTCTCGCATGAAGATAAAAAGCTTCTCAACATAACAAGCCATGTATCCCACCTTGCGTAATTGGAGTGATGGGTAAAATATCTAAAGAGAGGGGTGCTGGTGGTCACCAGACAGACACACTTGCATGCTTCGTGGTTGAAATATGACTTGAACTAACCAAATCACTTAATACCTCATCAAAGAGCCAAGGTGTAGACTATGTCTACAGCGTCCTATGGATGAGCCGGTGAGTTTTCTTGATTCGTCAGCTTGAATATGGTTGTAAAGATGCTACCCTGCTGGCCAGTTTTCTTGACTTAGTGTTAACTTGAAGCTCTTGTAAGAATGAGTCCCAGTTCTGACAATGCTCGCTACCTGAAGAACGAAAGCTCAGCCCGTCCTTGCCCGGAAAGTTGAAGGATGTCTCGTCGACTGGCTCGACCTGAAAAGCTGCAGTACACCGAGAATTAGCCGATTTATTCTGGAGAGATTAAGCTACGAATCTCTTTGTCATCTACTTCCATACGAAATGGATGTGCTCACATCAGTCTCATTATTTCCTTCATGCGACGGACGAAAACTTAGCATTTTTCACCGGAATCGAAGGAGATAGTCTTGGAAATAGCGTCTGCAATAATGTCCAGTAGATCTAATCGACAGCTGATCAAAAGCAATCCGCCTTGGCTTTCTGGTGGGATAGACTTTCCAATCTCTCCACCAAATACCTTCACTCGAAATGGAAATAAGCTCAACAGACTTGGATTTCTTCTTGCGGTTGTGTCTTTCACTGAAATTAAAATGGAGAATTGTTTTAGCCGCATTTAAGGCATCTATGCCAGAGTATACAGCTCCCGAACTCGAGCTCCACAGGGAGATTATGTGAGGTCCACGAAGGACAGAAAATTAACTTCATTATGAGGACAAAGTTTGTTTTAGATTCATTTACTGAAGTCATCTGCTCAAATGCACTCATTCATTTTGTTTGTCATGTCATAATTATTGAGATTTGTTTAACATTTCAACAGATCCTTGTCATAATCACTATCATGGTATAAAAGCGTACACAATCTGGGTTGCTTAATGTGATTTAAGCCCTTATAGCAAGGCTTTAGGAATATGGTAGGAATGTGCTTCCAAATAGCTAATACCTCTTGAATATCAGCTTTCATAGGATCAGTAAATTGTGTCTTAGAAGCCAAGCTCTATTGACCCGAAGATATGAAGTCCAGGATTGTATGGCCCCCGGTATGGTCGCAGTCTCCTTTTGATTTAAATAAGTGGGTTGACCTCGTTTTCGCAACTTGGTCTTGTTGTCAGAGCGACTTCGGAAAAGGTGCGTTCTGCTAAGTTGCCCTGACAACAAGACCAAGTTGCGAAAACGAGGTCAACCCACTCCTACTGACCCGATTTTTCACTAGTTTGAAAGTGGTGTCTTCCTGTCGAAGATGATTCTTTCACACATGAGGCATAGGTCGTAAGGACTGCTATATCATGTTATACGATCAACCGCTTCATGAGGTCCGAATGACTACGGTATTTGGCCTGCTGTTAATCTGCTCGGCTAAATTGCCGCTCTGACCGTGTGCTCGTTAGGATACAGTCAGGAGCTTTAAAAATGAGGTCAAACCGAAGTCAACCTCATCACGAGTCCGCGCACAACTCCATCCGGTTTCTTAACACCAAGTGAAATAAAGCTGCCAAAAATTCTTCAATTTATTTCATTTTTATTCTGTTTACAATTGTCCCGATGAGTGGGGTACAGATTCCTTTTCTTTTAGCTAGTTTGAACGCCTTATTCCCTTATTTCCTTGTTCGACCATGCTTTAATCTAGTAAGAGGAAAAAATTAAGACCTTTGCCAGAAAAAGATCATATTTGACGCATTCGAATGCACTCCTTGAAGATGACATGCTTGCAAGACCTCCGACTGTGATGCAATAGAAAGCCCTTGAATTTAAGTTATGTTCGGTAAAGCAAAATTTTCTCGAAAATTCAGAACCCTCCTTCCATATCCTTAACGCTAGGACGCCGACAGAATCCGTAAAGAATGTCATTTTGAAAAGTGGGATTTTGGCTCGAAGAACTAAAATATGCTTTCTAAAAATACTTTACATCAAGCTATCCAACATCATCGAATCCTACAATTTCGCTTCACCACGCCTAACCTAGAAGGTAGGAGTTGACCTATTTTCTCATGACTGGTTCGAATCAGCCTTTAGCTGAACTTATGAACTTATAATGACGAAATGCCTATACGTAAAATGTTGAACCAGGTTCTAGCTTTCATACCTTATTAATATCATTATTGCTATTTTTACTATATCAGTTGTATAGTAGTAATAATAGTAGTAGTAGTATCTAGTCCTATATTTGGATATAAAGATGGGTAGATAGATAGAGAGATAACTATGTGGGCAGGTTAGGGGGCCGATGTGTGTCAGTGTCACCGTTATTTATGCATTGGACGATGTCGCTACTTTACTTCTTCTGACATCAGTGAATTAAATCGACCAAATGTTATGGCTTTCGCTTGACTTCATTTTCCCCCAGCCTAAGACTGATCAGAGGATAGGCATGGGCTGGGCGAAAGCCTATTGATGCGAAGTCAACTTGACAGGCAAGTAGAGTCTATAGCAGCGATAGGTGATCCTGATGGCGAGATTGTGATGGAGCAGTAGATGGTCGAAAAATGATACGATGGTGTCAGGTCATCACAGTTCATTAACCCAATCGACTGTCTACCTCTTTTTTCGTTTCTAGGTAGGTTTTCGAGGCTACATTTTTTCTGACACATTAAACCTCGAGAAGGGGAGATAGAGAGATAGAGATAGATAGAGAGAAAGAGAGAAAGAGGATTAAGTATAGGGAAAAGTGGGACGAGGAAAGAGAGAAAAGGAAATAAAGGCAATGAATGAAAATAAAAACAAATGGGGACGAATAGTTAAGCAAGTGTACACATAACACTTATCTGGGAAGCGTAAGCTGGATTAGTTGTGAGGCTTTACCTTTTTATAGGCAGCTAATGTCATTTGTCCGAGCATGCCAGAGGGTAGATGGGTTAGTTGGGTCCAAAGTGTTTGGGGTGTTACATCAGGACCAGGGCTCTGAATTGATAGATGGGCCTAAAAGGTTGTTGCTATGTCATAATTGCGCAAGTCTACATGGTATATGGCTCTGTTTGATACCATCTGCCAGGTAGAAAGTGAAGATCGTTGTGAAAACGGTCTATATGGGCAGTTGGGGTATGTGGGGCGGTTCGTGCAAACGAGACTGTCAAAGGGAAATAGCGTCTACTTCTGCTGCTCCGACCAGTTGATCGTTGAGACGACTGACAAAGTTAATTCCACAACAGCAATCGTCGGTCTGTCCCAACGGAATCGCGGTCCAGCTCCCACCTGGACAACGGATCCCTTCCGAGTAGTGATAAATGGCATCTGGAAAATGCGTCAGACGATCTCGAAGGTCTCTTCGACCAAATAAGACGCACATATTATCAGGCATTGTTACTCCTTATAAAGGTGGAGGTAGTGCTGGAAGAGAAGGGAGCTGAAGAAGAGAGTGAAAATTTGTTACATCTCCAATAAGCTGTTCCCTTCATCCCATTGGGCATGCAGCCTGACCCTCCCGACGAGATTGCCCATTTCCCGGGCACTTTAATGAGTCACGCTGGCCAAAGTGGTCAGGAAGCCGGACAGCCATGCATTTTTGAGAGAATTTGTCCAATTTCGCTACAACATTAGCCATCCTCCATCGAGATATTGCCTTTCCTTTCCTTTCATCTCCAAGGTATCCCAGCCTCCAGCTTGTTCTAAGCACAAAGCATCGTTTTTATATCAAATGCGTAAACCTCGACATGAACTAATGGGTAATAATCGCTTCTTAACTGTTCCCAAATGGCTGAATCGAATACCCTTCGAAATGAAACATATGAATCACACTTTCGATGTATGCCTCGAGGCTATCAGCAATTCTTGCATATGAAACTATTCTACTTAAGCGACTCATAACCCTGTTTTGAGTCCCGTTGGTTCTGTTGATGAGAGATGAGGAAACAAGATTTTAAATGCAGTCCATTCTGGATGAGAAAACCTGTTGGGAGGTAAGAATAGGAGAATTGTGATGGCATCCTGAGGTCAATTCATATAATTGTGAGGAAAACTACACTTTCTGTCCTAAAATCATCATAGGCCAACCAGGGTTACTTACTTCTCATTTATGCATTTTACCCAGTCTCAAAAACTGATCAGATAGAGCCTATTAAACAAGACTCAAAGTGATATGTTGTTGGCTTTCAGTTTGTATTACACGGAAATCATGTTTGGACTATTTGGATAAATTGGTATTACTAATATAAGGTGAGTCCGTATTTAGGTATAATTATAACCGAATTAATTTGCAATCTATACATTTTGCTGCCTCTCAACTAAATCTCAAAACCTTTGGGATTACGCGTTCATAGTTATTCTTTTCCTCGGATACTCAAGGCCTGATGACCCTAGACTGATGTTAAGTGATTTCTCAGAGTTATGAATGATGGTTTCGAACCTTGACCTACGCATTTACAGGCTTAAGCATACACACACACATGTACACTTAAGCAGAAAGGTAATGAGGGTTGCCTGAAAAGGAACAACCAATTCATTCTTTATTTGTTAGAGGCACCTTCATTTCGAATGAAAGTGCATGAAGAAGAGATTCGTTGGTCGATCTCACCAGATAAGGACGGATGAAACTCGCTGTACTGCAGCCATTTGGCTTTGATGCGATATTCATGTTGACGCAGTCCACGAAACTTCCTCCCTCGTTTCGGGTGAAAACGTGCTGAGCTTTTGTCCATCATATGATGGACATCATCAGAGCTGGGTGTCATTTTTGTAAAAGTCTCACGTTGACACAAAAGCAAAAATACTATCCAGCTCTATCTTACTACTTATATAGACTCAATCGAGTCAAAAGATTAGAAATTACAGATCTAGATAGATGGATATAGAGTGGTTTGGTTAATTTTCTTTCATACTGGTTCTGTTATTTTTGTTCGATTGTATGAGCATGCATATTTGTGCGTGTTAGTGTCTATATGAAATACGGTTCTTAAATCAGTAGATAAGTATGGTTGAGATGATGAAATATGAGTTTTTAAGCATGATAATCAAGTTACGAAATCATTTGTCCTAACCTTTCCGTCAAGGGTCATTAACGCTTAACCATCCAAGGAAAGGCAAGACTGGGGTTGCGTAATCTGACATATCTGGTTTGTTTGAAGAGCTTAAACTAGCATTTTGGGCGAATGTGAGTGAAATTAGAACCATCACTGAGCATACAATTTGAGTCGCCTTCTTTTTGAAGGTGGCTCAACAGCCTCTATCTCTTTCAATTTATCAATTCCTACTCAACTTTCTACCTCCGTTCCTCACATTCAATGTATTTCCTAAGGTTGTCATTTCTTTTTTAATTGGCTTTTTATTACTTGTAAGATAATGCGATTAGTATTCTTGACTCGGCATCATTTTTCACTTTTTGTCTGATTACTCAGGTGACGTCTGCCAAGTAGCTTGACGGCATAGGTCAAATGGCAATTTTAACCGAAAACCAGATGAAGCTGCTTCATAAATTGCATAACTCTGAACTCCATATTGATAGAGCATGACTACAGCGTAACATAAATACGCACTCGCTCTCTCTTGCGATAGACCATAGAAGTTTTTCATGAGGCTCTTTGACACGAAATGATAGTCAGCAAAGCATTGCTATCTCAAGTTGTCCTTAAACTTCTAT